GGTATATCTGTTATGTGGTCAATACTCAACGAGTGGACCAAACACTCAATTCAATACCTGTAGTCCAAGCATTTTCTGATGTCTTTCTTGAAGATTTACCTGGTACCTTAGTTGATCAAGAAGTTGAATTCACCATTGAAACCCAACCTGGTACGCATCAAAAACTCTTTATCTCATGCCGATTGAAGAATTGAAATAGTTGAAAACACAACTTTAGGAATTGCTCGACAAGGGTTTCATATGACCAAGTACCTCACCATGGAGAGCTCCGGTACTGTTCGTGAAGAAAAAAAGATGGTATAACGAGATTGTGTATTGATTATCGAGAATTGAACTAAGTTATTGTAGACACCCTATTTTGACCGGCCCTAAGACTTGGGCGCTTCCTTTTTATTACCCGATGATGACAATTAGAATGTGTTTCTCACAGAATCCTCAGTAAGAGAGATGGAATTTAAACTTTAATCCTAACCTTTACCATGATGGCTAAATTGTATTAAATTACTAAATATTTTATTAGTTTAGTATTTTGTAATTTTGGATAATTTTATGTATTTGTTTATATTTTTGGTGTTTTTATATATATATTGGTATAAATTATATATTTTATACATTATATTATATATATTATAAAAGAAAAATAATAAAAAATTATATTGATGTCGGCATGCCGACATCAATTCACTCAACTGAACATATATATATTATATATTATATAATATGCATATAGATGATATTTATATAATATTTATATTATTATAATTATATTATTATGTTTTGGTTTGTTGCTTATATAAAGCAACCAAATGGATGATTTCAAGAGGATGAAAAAAAATTGATTCAAGAAACAAAAAATATTTGAGTTGGAGAGAAAAGAGAGAAAATATTTCAATCTTGAGCCAAAATACTTCCAAACTTCCATAACTACTGAGGATTTGAGAACACACTTTTTTACACTTGAGAGTAATTAAAAGAAAGTTTGTCACTTAGAAAATTCATCTTTTCCCCAAAAGGTGGGTTTTTCGTAAATTTTCATTTAATTTAAAAATGTGATATAATTTTTTTAAATACTTCGTTTACTTCTTTTCATAACTGTTTTTTTATCACTTTAATGGGAAGGCTGCACCACCCACATATCTGTTGTAATTTATTATTATTATTATTATACTGTTTTACTGTTTCAACGGGAAGGTTGCACCATCCACATATCTGCTGTAATTTAAATATTGTGTATAAACTGTTGTTATTTATTACTTTAAATAATTTATCCCACCAGATGAATAATAACCTCCAGCGGCGAATAGTACCTCCGGAGGTGAATAGTAAAAGTGGCAGGTTTCTCTCAAATTCTTTTGGGGTTGTTTTTCAACATCGAAACTATTTGAAGTTGTAAAAGTGGAGGGGTTAGCCACCCTTCTTTCTACTTGTTTACTAACTTAATCCTATTTAATTTTGCTCGCTTTCTATAGCTTAATTTCAGCACTATTGTATGCTATTTAGAGGGCTGTTTAATTTATTTCAATGATTTATGTTTTAAATATCAAGTTTGTTTGTACTAACACTAACCAATTAATCAACTTCGCATAATCATCTCTGCAACCTCCCTCAATTCTTTGCTTATTTCGATTAAAAAGTTGTGAAAAATTAAGAATGTGGTTCAAGTATAAGAAAGGAACGCTCTATGCTTAATAGTTTACTCTCTTTGGAGATTCACTACCAAAGGCATAAAACGTTTTATGCTTAGGAGGTTAATTACCAAAGGTATAAAACATTTTATGCTTAATGGTTTAATCTCTTTGGAGATTCACTACCAAACGCATAAAACGTTTCATGCTTAGGAGGTTCATTATCAAAAGTATACAACGTTCTATGCTTACTGATTTAATCTCTTAGGAGATTTACTACCAAATGCATAAAACGTTCTATACTTAACGGTTTAAATTCTTTGGAGGTTCACTACCCCAAATGTATACATGTTCTTATACTAAAGCACAATCTTTTATTTTTCATTTCTCTTTATTCATCAGTGTGTTTACTTTTAAGGGACTAATTGACCCTTGGAAATCACCAAGAAAAGTGTCATTATCACTTATTATCAAGTTTGGATTTCAAGTCATTATCACTCGAGTTTGGATTTTTCTAAGTCATTATCACTCTTTTGAGTTTGACCAGTCCTTATTGCACATCTTGAGTTTGATTTGGAATCCCTTATCGCTTGTAAATAAGTTTGACTCTTCCTTTGTAATTTCTCCCGAAGATAATAAGATTTGTTTCTCGGGTTAAGTTGATGCTTGTTTCTCTTTATTGCGTTTTGAACTTAGTGGACGTAAATATCACTTTTGCACAAACAGGAGAAAAGATAAAGAAATGGAAAGGTAATAAAAAAAGGCTAATAAAATTGGTTAAAATTGGATTACAACCTACATAAAGAACCAATATGATTAATTGAATTCGATCGGACGTTATACCGAGTTTATTGTGTCAAGGCTTGTCTTATATCAATTCATGATAATTTGATGAATTTTGAAGTGTCTCTACTTCCCTTCTTGAATTCACTTCATGATATGAAGGAGGGGTGGTTGTTTATTCATTGCATTTATTGATCATTGTCCAAATTGTATCCGAGATCATCAAGTAATCAACTTGCTAATTGATGGTTTTGGAGATGATTCCAACCCTCTCTTGAGTATTTTTATGATAGAGAAGGGTAAAAAAAAAGGACAAACATGGCTAGGAATACCCTGTCTGCACTGTTTCACCTCAGGTACAAAAAACAGATTTCCGCAAGAAAACAAAGTATTGGTTTTATTTGGGGCTCGACTGAGTCGCTTTTCAGGGTCGGCAAGGCTCCAATAAATTGCAAAACAATACACTTTTGGTTGAAAGCAGTAACCAGGGGTGAAACAGAACAAATCCCAGCAAGGCAGACAAAATAATTCCTGATGATCATCGAGCAATCATTGCATATTATTATTGTAATAAATTAGACAGCCCCTTTTCATTTATTAGTCATTCGGCTTTGTAATAATTATTTATTCGGACATTTGGACATTTGGACCCTCCTTCGCGAGGACAAATATGTAATAAGTTGTATGTCTTCCAACCCCCATTCTTTCTCCCTTTTATTTCACTGCTTATGATGGTTAGATTAGAGACATCATGTTTAATTAACATTTTCCATGATTTGCATCCATTTGTTTACATGCATAAAAGTTCTGCTCATCATATTATTCAAATGTCAAATCAAACTCCTTACTTGCATACATGCGCTATCACGTGCCTTGAATTGACTCACATGCCATACTAGTAGCCGAACCTTAATTGCACGTTGCATGTGTTGCATTAGTTATTAGATTAGGATCATGCATTTTTTTCTAACTATTTTGCTTTCTTTTTGGACTCGCCTTCGGATATTAAGGTAAGCATTTTTGCTTTAGTATATTGCATAAGTGTGAATGCTGTCATATCAAAACATACTACCATCAGGCTAACTGCTTATTTAATATACCTGTTTGAATGCCTGTGGATGAAGGCTAATCACTTGAATTGGGATACTTTGATTCATGCATATATGAGATCACCATTTTCAATGATACATATTCAAAACATTTTTTTCAAAACAAACATGAAATCAAAAGTTTCAACTTTTTGTGAAATTAGTCTATACTTGTATGTTACATATAGAACAAGAGCTTATACTATACATAAAAACCATATCATGATTAATAGAGGCCGATCTTGGATCGGGTGAGTGGGGTGTTCAATTATTGACCTTACCCTCTCATACCTAAGTTCCCGAACCAAAACACTTTGGTAACGACGGACTAATGGCCTTTGGCACGAGTCATGGGTTTTCTAAATTTTTCGAAAATAAATATTTAGGTGGTGACTCTGAAATCTGGCAAAGCAGTCCATTTTTGGCATTTGATTCAAACATCGATTTTTCAAAAAAAATTGCCGAATTTGGACTCTTTTTGTGTTTCCACTGTTTCACATTGCACTTGTGAAATCAGATTCAGAACTAACACAAGTGGAGTTCGAACTGTAAGGGCTATTTCATTCTTCCGAGAGGGAGCGCGAAAAGTCGAGTTACAGTTTCTGGCGACTCTGCTAGGGAAATAGAGAACTTGATTCAAACTTCATGATGTAAAATTTTATCTACCTAAATATATTATTTGCATTACTTTTGCATTGGTGCGCCTAAGTCCCTGTGTTTGCCATCTGTTATTCCGGGACGATTTGTCGGAGGCTTGCCTATAAACTTGCCAAAAAGCTGACCTGTAATGGGCTTTGTCAAGTTGGGAACGCAACCCTTGGATTTGAATTACCGCTGTACCGCTTGATCCTCCTTTTACTTCTCGGTGTTAGGTGTGAGAGGTATATTAGGTAGTCTTGCTGAGGTACTCTTTGTGACTATTTGACCTAATGCATGTAGTACGCTCTAGTGACTATTCAAATTAGGACAGGATGTTATCCGTACATGATGTTATGAAACCACTTGCTTGAAATAGTGCAACCTAGATCATGTCAAAATCTAGGACAGGGTAACCCTACCCCCTCATAGGGGTGTTTTGGTTCTTTTTATGTTGTATGTGCTTTTACAGTGAAATATACAGGGTGGTTCATAGCAGTGGTACAAATGAGCAATCAGTCTGAGAACAAAGTTTAGTGGGGATCACAGTTCAGCTGCATGTTGTGATTAATTGAGAATTGGGGCCGAAGTGCTGTCCGTTTTTTTAAAATATGTTTTCTTTCTTCTTTTTTTTGTTAGGTAGTTTTTCATCATAGCTTCAGAAAGACTCGATATCCCCCGAGTTGTTTGGACTCGTTTTGGTAGGCTTTGCAAAATTCAAGACCTTGTTGGTGGTCAGCCAGTGTTAGTCTCTCTCCCACCGGTCATTCGACGAAGAAAGAACAAACAGGCATCAGCACCAGTACAAAGCACTCCACAAACACCTATTCGTATCCGCAATTCACCAATATCTCACCCACTTACAAGAATGGCACAGAACACAGAAGAAATTGCTGCCATGATGGCAACTTTGAGAACCATGGATCAAAGGTTGGTCGCACAGGATGAAGTCATCGCTGATCTGCGACGCCCATCTGGGGCATCTGCATCTACTGTACATTCGGTCCTGGCTGCCCAGCCAAATCCTAATCTCCTTCCACCACTGGAAACTCCTCAGGTCCCAGATCCTCGGGATATGTTTCCAACAGCTTCAGCTTACAGACCTCCGATACAACCTCCTACGGGAACCATTCCCTTCGTTATGAATGAAGTTAATCCAGCCATGATCAAAATTGCTAGGCTTGAGAAAGCCTTGAAGAAATCCCAAGGTTTCAATTCAATTCCCGACATTGAGGACGGGTACACTGAGGCTTCAGTCAGGTTGCCAGAAAAATTCAAAATGCCTCACATCGATAGATTTGATGAGAGCGAGGATCCGATTGTGTATGTCCATCTATTTTTAGATGTGTTAAGGCCCACGGGTTTATCTAGGGCACAAAAACTCTCATTATTTGGGAGGACCCTGTCAGATGTAGTGGCCATCTGGTACGCCAAACTGGAGGACTCAACGAAGCGGAATTGGGAAGAACTGTCTGAGGGGTTTGTTAACCAATACTCATACAATACTCAGATAGAAGTAACAATCAGTGAGCTGGAAGCAACCACTCAGAACCCCAAAGAACCCTTCATTGACTTTGTGGCAAGATGGAGGGAAAAGGCAACCAGAATGACGAGCAGACCTTTTGAAAAAGAACAAGTCAAGTTAGTGGTCCAAAACCTCGAGCCAGACATGTTGCAGAAAATGATAGTGGCACCGTTGTCCACATTTGCTTCCTTACATGAGTTAGGGGGTCAAATTGAGAGCACCTTCAAAAAGGGCATCATCCACAGAACAAGGGAACCTGCAAAAAAGCCATTCACTCGGAATACCAATGCTAGTACTAGCACTATGCCGCGACCTACAGATGTCAGTACCATTGCTACATCATCGGCCAAGATAGTCAATCCCTTTGCTGTTGCCACAAACTCACAAACCGCACAAAATAGTCAACCTTGGAACCGAAGACCTTTTAACCCCCTCTATATGAGTCCAACCCACACCCTTAAGGTGTTGATGGACAAGGGGCATCTCAAGCCTCTTGTTCCTCGCCCTCTCCCAGACTCACTGCCAGCTAGACACGACCCAACCTAATATTGTACTTTCCACCAACAACATGGCCATCATACAGATTCATGCTATCGTCTACGTCATGAGATTCAGAATCTCATTGACAACAAAGTCATCGCCCCTCCTAAACCAAATGTGACAACCAACCCACTTCCTACACATAACCAAGTTCCTCCCCCCAGAAAGGCTAACCACATCCAAACACTACCACCTACCTTCAACCCAAGCATATATATTACCTCGTCCCACCTACCGAAACCAGAGGAGACACCCCATTTTTAACACCTCATTTTTGACCGTCCTCAAGACTTGGACGTCACCGTTTGAACACTCGGTGATCATCCACGTTTGTGTTCGTCTTGAGTTCCCGGAGGTCTCGGCAACGCGCCTTGCCTTAGGACCTCTCGACTCGACTGTGTCGTGTTTGGTTTTGCACCAAACACTTGTGTTTTTGTTTGGAGAGTAGGGAATGGCTTGTTGGCCATCCCCACTCCTCACTGGCCATGGCTTGAGGCCATCGGCCGTGTCTTCTTGCCACCGGCCATTGGTGATGGCCAGTCAGCACTTTGTGTGGTCGACCGACCATTTAGTTGGCCGATGGCCTCCTTTTCTGGCCAGTACCACATTGTTGCCTCTTGCAGGCATGGTGCATGCCAACTGTGCCAGCTGGGATGCACAGACCCTCACCCCACACACGTGTGTGGCTGTTTTGGCCCTTTTGCCCCCTTTTTTTGATCCAAACTTCTTCTAGAAGATTGCACCCTTTGCTCAAGCTTCTTGAGGAAGCTTGACCTTTTGTCTTAGCTTCCTCAAGAAGCTTGGACCTTTGGGATAGCTTCTCTTAGAAGCTTGGTCCCTTTGACCCTTTCATTTAGCTTCTCTAAGAAGTTTCAAGCCTTTGCCTTGTCTATATAAGGAGACCTCTCTTCCCCATTTGAGAGGTTCAGCAAAACCAGACCTTATATGATATATATTTGATATATATCACTCTCTCTCTATATATCTCCCTCTCTCTCTTCATTTGTATGTGTTTAAGGGCCTAAAAGTGTAGTTTGTTCTTAGTTTTGCACTAGAACACCTACTATTACACCATACTTCAACTTGGGAGGTGTTAAGAGGTTGTTCTTGGAGTTTTGAGCTAGTTTTGATCATAAGGAAGAGGCTGAGGTTGCTGTTCTTCAAGTGTTCTTCAAGGGTAACACTATTTGCTTTATATTCCCCAATCTTGCACTAGTTTTTAACCCACCTTGCATGTTGTTTTAGACTTTGTGTATAACTTGAAAAAGTCTTGTATTTGCATGCTTAAGATCTTTCATTGAGGTCATTTTGTTGTTTGGGGTCGACCTCCCCCTCTTAGGCCTTGTTTGGCTCTTTTTGTGCTCTCTTTGTTAAGCTTTGAATACTATTGTGTTTTGGCCTTCTCACCACTGAAATCCAGTGGATTTTTAGTGGTGATGAAGAGGGTTTGAGATTTTGCATTGGGGGAGGGACACCCCTCTCCCTTTGTCTCTTTTTTGTTTGCATTTTTGGCTCATAAGGGTAGCATGCATGTTTAGTTGTTTTTGGCTTCATTTCAGAGGTTTTTGGGTGTTATTGGGTCATATTACATCTCTGTTTTTGGTCGGATTCATGCCCCCTTGCATGCATAATATACTTGCTTTGCATTCCTCCTTTTTGCCTAGAAATACATCTTGCCTTTAAGACCATCATGCATGTATGTTCTTGCCTAACTTTGTGAAGTTCTTGGTCATATTTCATCATGCTTGAGGTCTGTTAGGCACTGATTTGATCATATTTTCCATGTTTGATATAACCTCTTCGCATTTTGGCTTGTGAGCCTTTAGTGTGTGAGTCATGAGCATGCTTGAGTCGGGTTGTTTTAGTGATTTGGAATCATTTCTCATGCCATTTCAGTCCCTAATCCATGCTTGTATGCTTGCATTCATCATCCCTTTCATGCCTTGAAGTGTTGTTCTTTTATGCCTTGAAATAGGTCTTAAATGCATGCCTCTTGGTTTGTGTCCCTTAGCTGCCATATTAGTGGGTTTTGGAGGTCCTTTTTGCATGCTAAAACTTTGTTTTGCATTGAAAAGTTCATGCCATGTTTGCTTGGGGTAGGTGTTGAGTAATGCCCTCTTTCGTGCCCTTGAATGCCTTCTATCTTACACTCATCCCCTAGCATGTTTTGGCATCATTCTTCGCATGCTTTTCAGAGTTTAACATGAGTGTTTAATGTCCATGTATATCACCTTTGAGTGTTCTTGAGAGTAGCCTTCCATGCTTGGGTTTTTTGGCTCATTGGTGTGCATGTTTGCATGAGCACTTGTCAATCATTTTTGGCACTTTTGGCCACTGTTTTGGGGTGTGGCTGAGGCCTCCCATTTCAGTTAAAGACCACCCTTGTATATAGTTGCATACTTAGCATGTTACATGTTGCATTCCACTAGTTGCATGCTTGCATTATGTCTTGTTTGCATGCTTGCATATTGTTTAGTTAGTTGCATCACATAGTCTTGTTGCATGCTTGATATGTTCATGTTTAGCTTGCATGAATAGGTAGCATGGCATTGCATTAGGTGCATTACTTTGCATTGTATATGGCATACATCGCATTACATTTTTCTTGGTTTGGGGTGTCAAACCAAGTATGAGGATTGAGAAGTGTTCGTACTTGAAGTGACGAAACACGTTTCAATCCTCGGTCGCCAATGCCATTGATCTCAACATGATAGGGCATTGACACTCATTTGTTTTGTTGCATGCATTTACATTGATTGGCAAACTTGGTGTCTTAGGCCATCATGCATTGGAATGCGTGATTGGTGGCTCGAGTACCAAGGGCCACACTCCCTTGAATCCATAACATGATTGGAAGAGTGGCCATGCACACATTTGCTTGAAAATTCCATGCCATACACTGCTTGCCCTCTGCTGCTGTCAACTGCAGGGTTCTGCAGGAATAAATGGCCGACCGGCCATCTCTAGTGCCGACCGGCCAGCAGTGTCCAGCCGATGACACCATCTTTGGTCGATAAGCATGTTCCCATGGCCGGTGACCTTTTGTTCTGGCCGGTGGCACTCCACAGCACTCAGAAGGAAGCTCAAGGCAGTTCTGGGGACTCTCATTATTTTCAGAGGGGTGAGGCAATGTAAACAGAGGCAACAGTGGCATGGTACTGGGTTTTCGGGCAAGGCGGATCGAGCATGCATCATCCACGCATCCCGAGGCAGTGCTGCGGCCACCTTCCTTCTGCATTTAATTTGTTAAATAATTAGAAGTTCCGTAATAATTAATTTAGTAGTATTCCTTTGGTTGTGTAATATTTATTCGGACCCTCCGAGCGAGGGCAATTGTGTAATAAGTGTGTGTGAGTGTGTGTATGTTTTCCAACCCCCACTTCTTTCTTCCCTTTTATTTACTAGCTTTCGATGGTTAGTATTAGGACATATTTAAATTAGCATACCTTATGTTATGCATGCGTGCATTCATACATTTGTCTTGCATGCACCAGGCTCGGCACATCATGCTAACTGCATTGTATTTCAATTCCAAATTGAATACGTGTTATCTATTGCATTTCACATGACGTGTTTAGGATAGCCGAGCCTGTCTAGATTGTATCTTTGCATGTGTTGCATTAGCCATTTTAAACATGAACTAGGATCATGCATATGATTACTAACTAGTTTCTGTTTTGGCTTGGAGTACTCGGTAAGCATTTATGTTTTAGTATCCTTGCATGAGTGTGAGTGTTGCCATGATAGCATGCTTACCATGAGGCTATATGCTTACGTGTTATAACTGCCTGAATGCCTGTGGGTGAAGGTTGGGTTACTTAAATTGGAACAATGCATTGAATGCAAGTTTTAAGCCCACTTGAAGGTGGCAAAATTCATGTCTTAAGCCTACTTGCGGGTAGCACCATCAAACCATTTTCAAATAAACAAACATGACATGTTTTGTTCCAATTTAGGCGACTTAGTCTATACTTGTTTGTTGTGCGTATCACGTAGTAAATCTAGGCTAATAACCAGAATAAGAACGCATAATGTTTTCAAAACTAGATATCATGGTTAGTAGAGGCCGATCTTCGGATTGGACGAGAGGGGGTGCTCATAGCTGACCTTCCCCAATCGTACCCAAGTTCCCGAGCTGAGGCAACTTTGGTGATGACGGACACGTGGCCTTAGGCAAACGAGTCAGGGTTTCCTAAATTCTCCCAAAATAAAATATTTAGGTGGCGACTCTGTATCTGGCAAAGCAGTCCATGTTTGGCACTTCTTTACAAAAATCTATTTTCCAAAATGATTTGTCGGATTTGGACTCTTTGGTGATTTATCAATCTCACATTGCACATTGTGAGATCAGATTAAGAACCGACACAAATCGAGTCCGAACTATAGTATGAGGCCCAAGGGCGCGTCTACAGGTGGTTATTCCAAAAGGCACGGATATGTGCATGTTGGATCTAACCCTACAAATCCAACCCAAAAAGGTTGTGGCTGGAACAGAGAAAGAGGAGAGTGCATTAAAGACAAGGTTATTTGATACCTGTGTCATAGAAAATGAGGCTTCGCTTGCAGAGGAGTATGACCCCAGTTTATACATCGTGGCCATTGATCAACCAAAACCAGTGGTCCTATTGCCGGATGTTCTCAGTGTCAATGCTATCGGGGAAGGCTAGTTAGGGCAACAGCAAAACGATTGGCCTGAACAAGGTCTAAATGACTTAGCCAAACTGGAAGATGATCTAGTTCAGATAAAAGAAGACCTAGCCAACCTCTACTTCTTTGAAGAAGAGGAAACAAGCAGTGTCCAGATAGGCTGGTTGGATTCAAGTCAGCTGGAAACAAACAACGGTTAGTTTGGTGACGAAGAGCTAGATCAGGTGGAACAGACAAAAGGGGTCAAGGAGGAAAAAGCCGAGACCACATCCATTACTAGAATAGAACAAGTGCTGGAACAATTCCAGCAAGAGAGAATGGAAGAAATTCAAAGGAAGAAGGCCTTGCCAGAAACCAAA